CGCCAACAAAGCCGGGAGGGGGCACGCCGGGTTCTCACCCGACCGGGGTGGGAGGGGGGGGGGGGGATATACTGATCGTGCGTACGTTGGTCGGAACAGGCATACGCGTAAACCCGCGTATCAAGACCTACCTGTACCGCCAGCATGAACATCACGCTTCCGGTCGCTCGCATCTTTTGGTCAGGTCTGGTGCCAGTGCCCTGCCGCAAGACACCATTTTGAGTTCGGCGGAAGAGCTGTGGTGTTGGTCTGTGTACGCACGGTTTGCCGACTTTAAAAAACGATGCCATCTTTTTTATGGTATTTGAAACAATTGTTCGGTGTATTCAGGACTAGATACGAATCTACGGAGATCTAGGGTTTCGTGTATCATGTTGGTATGGGTTGTGTAGAAGGGCGATTCCCCTTCTGCGTGTTGGTCTGTATCTACATGTAGTTCTGAGTACATCCAACAAAACAATTCGAACTCACGCAGAAATTGGGTCGTTGTTCACAATTTTCAGTTTTCAACCCACTCTACGCTCGTAGTTTCCCGAACCACCGTCGAAGAAGGCCCCCTCTCAACCATCACGTGATCCCCCTCCCGCCTTCCCTAAAGTCACTCCACAACCCGCGCACATGTCCCGTTACGCAGAAAAGAGCATCGGACGGAGGGCTAGTGCCATCGCCCGCTAGAAGGCCATACCTCGAGCCGAGAGAGCCCAACTCACTCACTCACTCACTCACTCACCTCCCCTGGCTGAACGAGAGCAACGGCGTTACCGACGGTGCCCAGCGCCAGGGTCGTTCCCGATCTGTCCCACGACACGCTCCGAGGGTAGCCGACCCCGACACCTCTGTTCGAGATCGATATGGTGAGCAGCAGCTGGAGGGGGGAGGGTCCCTCCCCGGCGACGCCTGTTTTTGGAGTTCCACCGCCGATCGGGGCATGTTTCTTTCGTGCCAAGATCGGGGGTAAGGGATCTTAATGTTGTCCGTAGTGCCGTTTTGGCTATCCGGGGAATCCCGGGTTGATTTTGGATGGGAATTCACGTGACTGGAGTTGCTCGGTTGAGAGGGAAGCTGGAGGCTCTTGGGGTTGAATCAATTAATCCATGCGAGTCGAGGTAGGTACGGGAGCAGTGTGCGGGAGGGGAAGGTAAAGGGAACGGGAGAGAGGCAGAGACAAAGACAGGGGGAGAGAGGAAGAGAGGGAGACAGAGACAGAGACAGAGACAGAGAGAGAGACAGAGAGAGAGACAGAGACAGAGACAGAGAGAGAGACAGAGAGAGAGAGAGAGAGAGAGAGAGAGAGAGAGAGAGGCCAGATGCCTCAAGACGGCGGCAGCAACCAAGCGACACTGCACCCCAAGCCCTAACCCATCGATCGAGTGCTGCAGGCATAGCCTAGTGAACCTGCTCTCCCCCGCTCCCAACTCACTCCACAGACGCAGGGTCCCCTTCCCCCCACACGTCGCCAGCCGTCCCCATTCTTGCCCGCCGCCGCTTCCCTCTCCCTTCCCCGCTCCGCCGCCGAACCTCACTCGCGCCGCTTCCGCCTCTACCACCCCCTCCGCGGGAGGCGTTCTACCATCTTCCCCGTGAGGCAGGTAGGAGACGTCGGTTATCGCTCCGTCGTGGGCCTTCGGCACGACCGCCAGCAGGCGGCCTCCCGGTTGCCACCCGACCGGCTCGTGCGCCGTCCTCCCACCGCCGCCACCGCTCCGGTTGGGCGAGAATGTTGTCGGATGGTGGTGTGATGGCGAGGTTTGGTGCTTGTTGTGACGCTTCCCTTGCCCCGCTTCGGAAATTTCCCAGAAATAGATCTGTGGCCGACGCGGCGTGACGACGGGGAGAGGGGGTCGGTCGGTCGGTCATACCGTCGGTGATATAAGGGTGACCGCTGTGTCTAGCCTTTGTGTTCATCCCGCTGATACGCTACGCTTCCTGGTTCACTGGCACTGGTTGTCCGCCCCACGCAAAAATTGATAAAGCGCGGCATTT